CGGCGGTGTGCCGCCGCCGTGAACGACTTTATCGTTGAGCGAGAGGTCGTAAACAGCCGACCGCTTTCACGAGACTTACGGCGGGTTAGCATGCAGCGTGCTCGAGTTCCGAGTTAGGCGAATCAGTTTGATCTGCGCATTAGTTTGAACCCCGTGAAGAAGAGGCACGGGCAATCGTCTTGCCACACATACGGCTCGCAGACACAGTTCGACCTGCATAAAATCGTAAATCACACCACGTGTAAATACGTACAGGGTGTCGCAATTTACGCCGCTGCTCGACCTCGTCGTCGTTCGTTCTTCGTCTAATTTAACGAGGATATCCAGCGGCTATCGCGCTGATATATCATGCTCCTTAAGAGCACGAGGTACAGAGTGCTTCATAAATTTTGTATAAAAGTTATTATTTAAGAAACATTTGAGAGGATGCTATATTTTTCTTTAATATTAAATATTTGTGTATATAATTACACTTCGCACGATGTTACCAAAATTAATAATTAACTACGCTATAATTAATTGGGGAACTGCGCACCTAATCTCTCTCTTCGTACCTTCCCTCCCCTCTCGCTCTTCTTGAACGTTAAATTTCTCGAATTACGCCTTGTCAATTTTCATACGAGAAAATCTCTCACTTTAAGTACATCGAAAAATCAATGAAGTTCAATACAAATTTCATGAAGCACCCTGTAGGTATAATTTCTCACCGCTACTCTCGAGGATTCTATTACACGTTCTGCTCACCTGCTGCGACCGTGTACGCGCCACGCGGAGAGCTACCTTATAAATCTACGATTCCTGGCACAAATCGAGTCGAGACGATTTCTCTTGACGTGACAACGTTTTTCCGATAATTAATGTGGATATGCCTAATCGAGTCGACGAATTGAGTCAATGGACGTCGAACGAGTTTGCTAATTAACCAAACCTTCTCATACGTCGCCTTAGATTTAATCGAGCAAGAACTAGATCGCAAAATTTTCATCGCGCACGATCATCGCCTCCGCAGATTTCCCGTATACGGGAGCTGCGGAAAAAGCGACGGTAAGAAAACACGTGACAATCGCAAAGACCGTCATCGTATACCATACACGCGGGCTCGTTAATACCCTCCAATCCGACTCTCTCGAAGCACCCGCTTGAACTTCGGCCGTGGTCGTTTGTCGTACTTGCACCTCTTTGCCCGGCGGGCGTAAACGCGGCACGACGCTGCGATCTCCTGCGCTTCCTCTTCCTGCTCCATCCCACCTCTTTTAAAGCGACCGCGGCTCGGCTAGGCACAAGCTCCGACCGGCTAATCGGCGACAAAGCGGCAGCTTCGCCAACTACGGGATTACAGTTAGGCACCCGGTGATCTCTCCAGCAGGGAATCCGTGGGAAGAGGAAAGGAAACGACTGGGGAGAAAGGAGAGGATATAACAAGGGAGTCTTGAGCTGCCGTTGCTTGAAGAACGCGGAGAATCAATGACGAGGAAGCAGAAGTGTGTTCGGATGACGTACTGAGAGACCCACTTCATACACCACGAGACTTGTAACATTAGATGATGGCTAGGGAAGCGGATTAACTATTTGTGTTTAACTTCCAATAATGATTAAATGACACTCTACTCCTTATTCTGAAAATGTTACAAATCCTTTTATTTTTATAAACCAGATATCTGTGACGATAAAAAATGTTGTGTCAGTGGTATTGCTCGCCAAAACGAACAAGTACAACTGTACTTTTAACAAGCTGAAAGATAATTTTGTTAGTGTTCTTCTTATTTAGCCGAGCAATTGACGATCATCATGCCCATGCATGCACTGTTATTTCAAGAGTGAGTAGAATAAGCACGTTATGCATATAAAGTCCTTGCATCCTGTGCACTTTTGCACAATAGGTGATTATCTAAAAGATAGCGTTTAGATTTCTTGAACGAACAGAGTGCGCTTCCGCCTGGCAGATTGTCAACAGACTTTCTCGTAAATTCCTACGTTCTCATCGCGTACCGCATTGGTACCACAAGAGGAATGGTACATGCAACGTGGACATGTAAACATTAAAGTGTAGAAGATCGGAGCGACGTGAGACGGTCGGAAAATCTCGCGAAGATTGCTCGAGACGAGTCGGAAACTGAGCCCCGCGGGCAACTTCAACGGGATCCCACGAAACCGAAACAACGTTGCGCTTTGTTGCAATCAAGGTGGCGGAATGAAGGAAGTGTGCACGACCAGACGAGGAGAGCACCGCAAGCGTCGAGCATTGAAGGCGGAATCGATGGATGGAGAAAGAGAAACGAGAGGAGCCTAACGAGACACGCGAGGAACTACCTTTGGAAAAGAAAGGCAGTATAAATAGGTGCGGGAATGTGAAGTACGAAGATACGTGGGTCGAACCGACGAAGAGCGGTCAGAAAATACTTCCGCGAGGATCTGCTTGAAGGTGAATCCGCACGGTTTAGTTTAACGAATCATCCGCAGCAAACGAAAAATAAACAACATAAATAATTCTTTTGAAAAAAAAAAAAAAAGAAGCAACCCTCTTTTTTACTCTATTATTTATATTTAAAGGGAAGGGGGGTCTATTTCTTAAATCTTACAGCTTTCCTAATTATTATAATTCATCATCTCGTTGCCTCAAAATATGGCACGTGTATACGTTTCAATAATAATACCACTACGTGGCTTGTCCATCCTATAAAGAATTATTTAACTAATTTTTTTTTAATTACATTGAATTATATTACATTATCATAGTCTACTTTTTTAATTATTTCCTTAGACAAAAACTTCATTCATTGCATTCGCTGCATTCGCTTTTCGTCGGAGACGATCGTTTAATATAAACCGTTTTATCTATAATAGCTGTTAAAGGGCAATTCACCTCTAAGGGTCTCGCGCGATCGTACCGAGTCCCGTAAGAAGCGCCGCGTGCGTTTTACTGTAATTAAAATTAACAACTGACGGCACGACGTGTTTCTTACCGTTTATTTCTCCCGTTCCAAGCACGCCAGAGCCCATTAGATCGTCGCCCATCGTCCCTGTCTGCCCGCGTACCAGTCAGCTAATCGGCGACAAAGCGGCAGCTTTGCCAACTACGGGATACAGTTAGACATACGTGGATCCGGCCAGCTGAGCGAGCCACGAAGACGGGCGGAAGAAAGGAGCGGAGGGAGAACACAAGGCACGCGAAGGGAGCATGAACGCTGAGGTGATACCAGGAGGTAAGAAAAGGTAACGAGAAGAGGAGTGTGTGACGATATACGAAACGGCGTTCGTGTGTGAGACATAGAGAAACAGAGAAGAGCATTCATTGAGACGAAGAGAGGCGGAAGGGCCCTTTTACGAGAAGAGGATATAAATGGATGGACGCACGAGAAACACGAAGGCGTGCGAACTGAGCGTGTAGCTCATGTTCAAGTAAGTGGATAGTTAACGTTAATGTTGCTGCAAGGGGTCCCTCCTTAATCGAGACACAAAAGAGTCGCGTATATCCCACACTCGGTTGCAATTAAAGCGGCCGAGTGCGCTTTTCCCTTTCACCCGATTACCGTTGCAGGACGCCGCTTCGAAGGAGGGATTGTTACGTGAACGATGTCGATATTAAACACGCCGAAAAAAATAGAGACTTCATTGGATCCAAAGTAAAGTTCGATGAAGTGATTTCCCCGTATCATAAAGATATTACATATCGCTTTTAATCGATCCTAGTATAGATTAATATCACTTCTAGTTTATTATCGCGAGATAACGCGCGATAACCATCACAATGATCGCATTTACTGCACCAAGAAAATCGAATGCTTGGGTATTATTCGTTTGATAATAATGATTATATCTCGCATTAAAAACTTCCTTTTATGTCCTTATAAATAAATGAATTTTATAAATTTATTCCATGAATTCTATAAATTCATTCATTTATTTATATAAATGAATAAATTCTATGAGTATTTATATATTTATATAATGCAAAAAAATATTTGGTATATTATTTTTACCGAACATGAACTTATTCAAGCCCATTTCTATCAATGCAGATCAACTTAGATTAATTTACTTTTTCTAATTCTTCAAACTAAAAGAAGAAAAAATATAGGGTGAACCAAGATTAAAGTTAATCTACATTGGAAATGGACATGAAATATATGCTCGTTTAAGCACTTAAAAAAATCATTATATCCTTCCTATGGTAATTTAAGGCAAAGCGTGTTTCGTGACGCGAACACTAGCGGGTTAATCTTTGGTCAGGCTCCTCTCAGCTATCGTCCAGCGACTACCTCTTCCCGCCGTGCGCTAATCGACGACAGAGAGCAACAACTGCGCCAACTACGGGAATACAGTTAGATATCTGCAGATCCGACCAGCTGAGCCTCACGGAAAGGGAGAGAAAGGGACAATGCGGGACGAAGAGCAAGGAGAACGGCCGAGAGAATGGCGCACTCGACAAGGTAGAATCACGGTAGAAGGGAGAGAAACGGCGGCCTGCCGGGGAAGTATCTGCCGGTACTCGACGAAGTACGTAAATAGATGCACAGAACGGGCTGAAGATGCGGGGGCGTGTGAACCAAGGCTTAGGAGCCCTACGTGGTGGATGGGTGTGTCCCAGCTTCCGCATACTCCTCCGCGGTCACCGCGTGTTGTTATCTTCCGCAACGCGACGCGAGAAGCAACGCGGAGTCGCGTGTGTGGCGTAAGTACACGTTTCTGCCGTTGCCTGCTATATGTGGAGCATCTCAACGCGAAACAAAGGCTTACGACAAAAGCGCAGTCGACTATCGCCAAGTATTTAAATTTGGAAACCTACTATCTTATTTCACTTCTGCGATATCTCTTAATTTAAATAATCTGGAATATATAGATTTAACAATAATTTAAGAAGTATATACAATCGTAAAATCGTTGAAAACATCGTTTCAAATTCTTCCGCTCTTTAAATGAGTTTCGACGATCTAATATCGTCATATAACAGATAAAAATTACTATCATTTCTCAGAAAATTATCTCTTTTAAATACTTACCGGGAAGTGACAGGCTACACGTGAGAACGTGTTCCGGCAAGTCGTGGATAGTCCTTGGTGATGCTACTTCATCGACTCGCTTTTTGGTTCCTGAAATGAGAATGAAGGATCTTGTTACTAGAACATTCGCAATAACAGGGATACCCCTCAACCATTTGCATTCCAATTTGACAGCTGAATCGAATGCTAGCAAAAATCGGTAATTGGAACCAATAGTGTAGGGTCGGCTACACAAAACTGACAGCTGAACGAATCTTGATGTGATTCATCGAGATCGGTTCATCCCTAAATAAGATCGAATAACTATGAAGAATCGGAAATTAACTGACACACCTATAATTGAATTCATAAGAATATTTTGTAATATTCAATAAAATCTTTTTATTGTAAATTGAAGAAGCATTACTGATAAGAAAATGTTGTTGACTAAAATAGCTTTTATTTCTTTCCTTAAACAAATATCTTCGTAATAAATCTTAATTTTCACTTGCATTACGAATATTGAGATGTATATACGATGCATTAAGGCCTTAATTAATATTCACAAATAAGCATTACATATTGAAACGTTAAATACAATTAATTATGTTAATTAGTTTTGGTAAGTATTATGTATACATATAATATCATAATACTTGACACTTGATGGGTGAACATATTAATATTCATAACTGAGTATTAAATATATTAAAATGTTAAATAATAATTAATTATATAATTTTAGAGTGTATTAGCATTCGAGTGGTAGCATTCGACGTTCAATTTCTTCTGTTAAACAAACGTGCACGTCATGCTGAATTGTATAGAAAAATAAAAAACACATCTCTCTGTATGATGAATAATGCCGGTATGCTTCATCAAACCATTAAATACGTCTCTACGATTAATATCCGCTTTACGAGATACAAAGATCGATCGAAGCGCGCGTTCGCTACCGAAACGAAGTGCGTTTATCGATTAATCGCGATGGGAACGTGCTCATCGGTGGCCCGATGGCGAGCACGTACATCACGCACGTGCGTATGCCGCACGTGCACGCATCCAGAAACGAACGATCAGATTGTGCTAGCCCGCGAGCTTGACCTTGCGTTGAGAGGTTCCCTCTAATTCCACCTTTTAACCCTCGTCACCTTCTGTCAGAGACCGCAGCGAAGGTGAACGGCGAAATGTACGCATATTTCGCCTCTTCTTCAGCATATATATACGTATCGCAATGCATCACGCGCACAACGGAGCACTTTCTACCTTCATGAGTAACACGTCGAATAATATGTATCTCACGTCGGCATTTTAAATAGCGTTACTACCGCGAGTAGCCGGCGCGAATACCGGACGTCTCATTCATGACGGCGCAGAAATAATCGAAAGTAAGCGAGCGTGAGCGGCGTCTCGTCAAAGCGCATTCACTTATATGCAGAATTGCGCGCCAGAGATCTCGCGGGAAATGTAATCAAGCGTAAATCAATGCCACTCGATTTGCCTTTTCTCTATATATGTTGCGCTCTCTCTCTCTCTCTCTCTCTCTCCTTCCTTCTCTCACTTTTTCTTTCCTTTTTCTATTTCTCCGAGATCAACAACAATGTAATTAATGTTGATTACTACTGGCGTACTATTAACACGAACGGATTGGACTATTCTCCGCGAAACGCGCGAAAAAAGTTTATCGTTTACACTTGTAGACATTTAGTGCAGGTCGTTAAACCGGTTACGAAGAGTTATTCCCACGTATAGTATTGCCGCGAACTATCGGGACGTCGTACTGAGAAGCCACATGATTTTCGCGCTAGTCGCCGGCCACACGCCCTGGGTGTACTCAATTAGCGCACGCTATTTGCACACGGACGCTTATTAAGCGATTATAAGACGTTTCACCGGCGACGTTAATTGCGGGTTTGCGCGGCCTCGCGACGGTTCAGCTTTATCGCGTCCTCGCTCTTGTTAAGTAAATTGATCCGCAGCGAAATCGGGACGCGATTGCCGTCCATGATCTTGCCCGCGGGCCGCGCCGACTTTACGCTGATGCAGTAAAAGCGCTTGGGCTATTAAACGCGCGCAGAGATACGATCAATTAGTTCTCGCCGTGCGCACGTGAGAAGCGACGACGTGCCGCGTTTGTCCCAACGGGAACGTGTCTGCTGCAGATGCCACGCGAAACGCACGTGGACTGATCCGAGTACAAGTATAGGTATGCGCGCGAATAAAGTAAGCTGTATTGTGCGAACGTAATTTGAATTTGCGAGAGAACTTATCCACGAAAGTTATGCGATCAGATTAGAAATTTGTTCGTACAATTTTACTTTTAGAATTAATTGGAGCACGTAAGATCGTATTATTCATTTCCATCTCTGAATCATAAATCGCAAATTCTCTTAATGTGTCCAGCCGCTTATAAAAGTCTGTAACCGCACTTACATCGTGATATATATTCTTACTGTTATTATTCCTCCTATAGTGTCTGCGATTTAGAGAAAGTACGTTAATTTCTGAAACAGTCCGCGGATAATGTAGTTGGCACTATTTCTCTTGTGTTGAAAAGTTGAAATATACTGGTCATTTCAAACCGCGATTTAAACCTCGACAACAAAATATTGTAAAAATTATATTTTAATTTTTAAAAGGGTATGTTAAAAGGGAGACTTTGAACAGTTTAAATCATCAGATTGTTTCAAATAAACTAAACACAATTTTTTTTCAATTCTATGCATGAATTCAAAATTGAAACTTTTTATTGACTGTGTGATCTCGATTTAGAAATAGTAACACATAAGCAAAAATATCTCGATTACATTTTGTTGATCGAAAGAAACTTAGATTTGAAAAGAATAGAATCTTTAAAATATGTTTCTGTGAAAATCATTTTATGATTACCTATTTTTCACAAAGTTGCATAAATTTGCATTTTATCATTGAGTTGAAGAGATCGTTTTTTAATTTCATTTAATTGAAAAATAATTTTAAACGGATAAGAGAAAAATCCGAGTAAAACCGTATAAACATACCCGCAAAAGTGCTGCTAATCGCAAAACAATTCCAATCAATCGCCATGACGTTTACTAACTGTTCATGCATATCGTATTGGCAATTACCGGAGAATCCACAATGGCCGTCTCTCCTCGTATGGCTATCTGTTCCGGAATTGTTCTACCGTATTCAATCGATAACTAATATCGTTTTTTTCACATAGTTCGAATATCAAACGAGTTTACTATCGTTCACGTTGAAAACACAATCGGAAGTTCACTTTTACGTTTACACGAACGGCGATGACAGGTATGACACGCGACCCAATTTTGCTGCCAGGTGCATTCACGCGATTGCGTCCGTATGCAGGAACAACGGACCGGTCTTCTCTTCGTGCCCGCATAGCTCGGAACGGAGAATGACTTCGCGAATGCGGTTTTGCGGTATGCCGGCAGCCGTAGCGAGATTCACATGCAAATTTCCACGCTCGGACTCATTACGCCGCGGAGGAATGGAACAGAAGAAGGGGAGAGTGTTAATTACGTGGTAATGACGTCCACAGGCGTGTATATTTTACGAGACAACGGACCTGACGCCGCGCCGCCACAAACGCAATTTTACGGGAGAGGCGTTGTCGGCGCAACGGCGGAAACAAAGACAGACCGTTAAAAAAACACGGTTATCGATGATTTATCGACGACGGTTCTCCGAAGAACTCATCCATCACTCCGGCGGAATTGTAAAAGAACGCGAAGCCTCCTCTCAGTTTCTCTTTCATCGCTATAATATCGCCTTCTGTGGAAAACTGTAAAAGAGCAGTTATCTAAATAAATACGTAAATCTTCATCGCTGTAATCTTCGAGCCAATGGTCAATAATAGAAGCAATGGCGCTCTTTCAACGTAGTGAAACAATGTATAAACTCTACGAGCATCGTTGATTATCTATCCTGTATGATTTCTACTAATGCGAGCAAAAAAATTACATAATTTATTTATAAAAGAAAACACAAACTATGTTGATAAAAATAAAAAAATTTTTATCTTTAATATAAATATTTACATTTTCTCCTTACATTTGTTTCTGAATTAGTTTCATATTATAGATTTCGTTAAACATTTTTCAATATTATTAATTATCAGTCAATTTGCGATGGACTTTACAGTTTATTAATCAAATCAAATTACCAGCAGAACGTTGTAGCTCGTATTCAAAACGTAGCGCTTTTATCGATAAATGCGCGCTTTTATTTTTAAATTTCATTTTATATATATTATATATATATACATTATTCTAAAATTCTATTAGTATGTGTAATGTGAACTATGTATTCAAAATGTATTCAGAATGCGGTTACTGCATGCTAACATCGCCGTAACCGCATTCTGAATACATTCCTTGTACGTATATATATACGATTGTTCGATACCGACAAGAGAATAACATACCTATATCTCCATGCATGATATCAAGTAACAATAACGATTAATATACCCTACACAGCTGATTATTATAAAATACGGCTCCCCTATCCATGAATTAACGGAAGCTGGTATCATTTTATTTCTCGCGATAGGAACTTCCGCTAGGGCAGGCGCGATTTCATTAATTTATCATTATTTTATCAATAGAGCCATAAATCACGTTCAATCATATTTACCTATTTGTTTCATTACTAAGAAACGACATAAACCGAGAATACGAGCAGTTGAAAATACCGTTCCCTCGATTTTCCGTAATTCATAAGCGCGTCGCTCTTCCGTCTGTGTAATTATATTTATTCACCGCAGTAAAATAACGCAACAGGACATTATCGTGGCGGTCCTAACAATTACGAGTGAAATTAGTTGTCGATAATAATTATAATTAAGCAGCGTACGTATCTCGGAGTAATAAACGGGAAGTGATTGTCGACCAATAGATCGGTGGACATTATTTATGCAAATTACATGTAGCTACCGCCGCGAATCCGCCATCGTGCTGGTTATCGTGCTTCCCTTCGAGCTGTTTCTCGAACGGAGACGATTTCTAATTTCTTATAGGCGTCGAAACGAACAAGTTCGAAATCATTGATAGATAATCTGCGCCATCGAACATCACCGCTGATCGATACAGCATCGGTTGTAATTA